CTTCTTCCAGAACGCGTCGTTTTAAGTTTATTTTCGGATACTGTCGAAGTATCTTCGTGTGCGTTGGTTGTCGGATGAGGTATTATTAGTGTCTGAGTCGTGTCGTTCGATTGTACCGAAGGAAAATCGACGTGGATAGGATTTCCTTCTAAATACGCTGCTTTTAAGCGATCGATGCTGATGCTATCGTTGGTTCCGTTCTTATCGACTATATAGTACTTAGATTCACGTTGAAGAACTTTGAAGGGTCCTTCGTATGCTGATTCGAATGGTCGTCGATGCGAGTCTCGACGAATGAAAACGTGTGTACTATATGGTAAGTCAGGTTGAACGAAAACATCAGTTGATTGAGGTCGAGTGGAAGCAGGTTTAACTGAACGCATTGCGTTTGTAAGCCTGTTCGTGTAGGAGGTTAGATCCATGTTCATCGAAGAGCACGAAGGATCCACGAATTCTCCTGGAAGTCGAAGTGTCGTTCCATAAACGAGTTGAGCCGCAGTGTATCCAATGTCAGCTTTCACTGCATTGCGGATACCTAGTAAGACGAGTGGAAGAGCGTCGGTCCATTGTGAAACGTTTGCAGCTGATAGCGAAGCTTTCAGTTGTCGGTGAAAACGTTCTACCAACCCGTTTGCTTGGGGATGGTAGGCGGTCGTTCGGAAGCGAGTGATTCCTAAAAGTGTGGTCAGACGACGGAAAAGATCAGATTCAAACTGACGTCCGCGGTCTGTAGTGATGGTTGAAGGGCAACCGAAGTTTGCTACCCATCGTTCGACGAATGTGCGGGCCACTGTTTCAGCAGTGCTGTCCTTGATAGGTACTGCTTCTGGCCATCGAGTGAAACGGTCTACGCAGGTTAAGAGATAAGAGTATCCATTTGAATCTGGTAAAGGTCCTACCAAATCCAGATGAACATGGTCGAAACGAGCATCGGGAGTTTTAAACGAGCCTAAGGGACATTTATTGTGTCTGATAACCTTAGATTTTTGGCAGCTTACACAGGAGCGTGCCCACTCCCTCACGTCTTTATTCATGCCAGGCCAGCAAAATCGTTCTGCTATAAGCTTGATGGTTGCACGAACACCTGGATGAGAAAGTTTGTGCAATGTGTTGAAGACATTGCGTCGATAATGTTTCGGCACGATTGGGCGATCCCTACCTGTAGATGTGTCACAAAGTAAGGTTTCCTTACCTGTTCCCATCTGTTTGATGCGTAGTTTAAGTGTTGTGGACGATAACTCGTGCTGAAGATCACTGTCTTCTTTTTGAAGCTCGGCGAGTTTAAGAAGGTCGATTCCTTGGAAACTGTTCAAGGAAGTTATACGAGATAAAGCGTCTGCAACTACATTGTTTGCTCCAGAGATGTGTTGAATATCTGAAGTAAACTGCGAAATGTAGTCCAGTTGTCGAGACTCACGGGGAGAGTACTTGTCAGAAGGAGAGCTTAACGAGAAAGTGAGCGGTTTATGGTCCGTGAAAAGAGTGAATTCACGGCCTTCGATATAGTGTTGGAAATGCCGTACAGCACAATACATAGCTAGGAGTTCCCTACCGAATGTGCTGTACCTCGATTCGGTGTCTAGCAACCTTCTAGAGAAAAATGCCAAGGGTTGCCAGGAGTTGTTAACCCATTGTTGTAAGACTCCTCCGATTGCTGAGTCGGATGCGTCTACTGCGATGCTAATGGGTGCTCGGGTGTCCTGATGTGCGAGCATTGTTGCTTTAGCAATCAGTTCCTTGACTGTGGAGAATGCTTTTCGTGCGGTGTCGTCCAAATTAATGGATTTCGCATTTCCACGAAGTTGGTCGGTCAGAGGTTTCATAAGTGATGCGCATCTGGGTATGAAACGTCTATAGAAACTTACCAGGCCGTTGAACGTGCGTAATTGCTTGACGGTGGTCGGTTCTGGGTAATCCAGAATGGCCGCCACTTTGGTTCTAAGGGGTCGGATACCTTGAGCATCGATAGTGTGTCCCAGAAAGTCTAACGAGTCGGTTCCAAATTGGCATTTCTGAACGTTTACAGTTATGCCATGTTTTTGTAATCGTTCGAAAACAAGGTCCAGATGCTTGAGATGTGTTTCTCTGTCCGGACTTGCGATTAGACAGTCGTCAACATACGCGTGTACGAAGTTGAGACCTCGAAAAACGTCGTCTATGAATCTTTGGAATGTTTGAGCAGCATTCCTTAGACCGAAAGGCATTCGCAAAAATTCATAGAGTCCGAAGGGAGTTATGATAGCCGTTTTCGGTATGTCGTCAGTGGCCATAGGGATTTGGTTATACGCTTTAACCAAGTCGATTTTCGAAAAGACAGTTGTACCTTTCAAGGTAGCTGTCAAATCGTGAATGTGAGGCAACGGGTAACGATCGGGAATGGTTTTCGCGTTCAATCGCCGATAGTCACCAGTTGGACGCCAATCGTTGCTGTCCTTTTTAGGGACCATGTGCAACGGAGATGCATATGGGCTACTTGACGGTCGTATGATTCCTAAGTCCATCATGTGATCGAATTCGTTTTTCGCTAACCTTAGCTTTTCAGGAGCTAGTCGTCGTGCTTTAGAAAATACAGGTGGTCCTGTAGTCGTGATGTGATGTGTAACATTGCTGGTTACACACGGTAGTTTCGTTTGCGTTTGTTGTATCCCAGGGTACTTATCGAGTAGTGGTTGATAGAGTGGGTCTATCATATGTTTAACTGTGACTGGGGATACTCTACAACCAGTAAAAGAAGTTACGCAAACGGACAAATTAGTGTTTCCGTCTACTAGCCTCCGTTTGCGAGTGTCGATGATCAGATTGTGGTGTTGTAGAAGGTCCATACCAATGATTGGCATAGAAACATCTGCAACGACGAAAATCCAGTGGATGGGTTTGCGTAAACCCACGTTAAGGTAAACGTACCTTTTGCCATACGTAGCGATCGGTTTTCCGTTTGCCGCCTGTAAGTTTAGGGTCGATTCGTGAAGTCGGTCGTTAGGATTTGCTGGGAGAACGCTAACTTCTGCGCCAGTGTCGACGAGGTAGCGAACTCTCGTTGTCACATCTGTGACGAATAACAGACGGCTTTGTTCGCCGGCTACGGTTGCCGTTAACGCGTGCCGGCTTGGAAGTTTCCCGAATCAGTCGGTTTCGTGTTGGGAAAATTGCAGGGTTTTCTGCAATTTCTGGAAAACTTTCCATACTGGTTATGATACCAGCACCAGTCGGGGTTATCTGTCTCTCGTGGTCTAGAGACAGATCGCTTACGAGAAATGCTTCTACGTGGTGTGCGCGATCTCTTACGGTCGGTACGAAGACTAAGATAACGCGTGAGTGTGTGACATAAGTCGGTTATGTCATTCTGAGTCGTGTGAGGCTTTTCTTTGACTGAAAATACCTCGGTAGTAGAAGGTTTCGTAATTTCTAGAATGCGGTCGGCAGATACAGCTAGTTCGTCTAAGGCGTTGTTCTGGAACGAGACCAGAACTGCTTGCACCTGTTGGGGAAGTTTTGACAAGAAGAGTTGTTTGAATAGACCTTCGTCGAAAGTTCTTGGGCCTATAACCTCTCTCATCCGTTGCAACATGTCCGTCGCAGAACCGTGTTGCAGGTCGATATTGTTGAAGAGTTGATCTAACCTTTGTCGATCGGTTAGGTCTCCTCGTTTAAGAATCGAGCGTTTTAAGATTTCGTAAGGATCGGAAACATCACTAGTAAACATACTAGGTGTTACGTACCTGTTGAATTCCCGCGGCAGTGCCTTGACTACTGCGAGGAATTGTGCACGTGTGTCGATCACGCCGTGCTCGGAAAAGTCGGCTTCTGCGTAGCAAAACCAGGCTTCGATGTTGTCGGGCCAGAAAGGCATCAGTTGAAACGAAGGTGGGGACAAGGTCTTAAGCTTGAGTACTTTAGGTGTCTGTTCAGTCATGATGAAATATGAAGTACGATAATGAACGAGGGGAAAATATATATATATATCCAAGAAAAACACGAAAAAAAATCACAATGTTTAAAAAAAATAAAAAATAAGGCAATGATATATAAAAATCCCAAAAAGGAACAGACTCACAGTTGCAATAAGGTGTACCAGATCACGACGGTCTCACCAATGATGATGTCACAGGTATTCAGTGTTTGACAACGCTTCTACCAGTAACACCTTCTAAGATATTTCGTTCCCACCAAGAGAAATCAAAAGACAGAGTCGAGGAGATCGGAAGAGTATATTTGGCGATGACCAATATACCGGGATTCTCTGATCTAATCTGGCTAGCGATTGTGGTTGATGTTGAGCACGGCGTTACTACACGTGATCTGGTGCGGATGCCTGACCGAGCGCCTTCAGCTAGATGAGTCCACTAAAACATATGGTCAGCATCCAATGTCGAAAACTTACAGAGCTATTTATTTTAGGGATTTATTTACCGCTACAATACTTTCATCTGATTTTAATTTCGAATTTTGTTAGCTTATCCAATGTGTTTCGTATTAGTCCTATGTAAGAAGCTGTGCTCATCTACTGAAGTGAGAGAACCAGTCGTTGAGGGTTTCGATCGCGGATTCGTCGAAAAGTAATTAAAACTCAGTTTCTGGCTAATGGACTGATTTTACGAGTTTTCGAAGATTTGTGTTGTAGTTGTCAAACAAAATGAGAATATAATAAAACGAGTGTGTAATTAAACTAATTGCGATTGTAATCATGTCAACTTGGCAGTTTACCAGGTGTTATAAGCAACTCACGATGGATTAGTACTAAAAAGACGATCAGTCATTTACGTACATCGTTCTACAGCATAACGCTTTTTCGATTGTAGCAGTTCTAGCGGAAACAAAAACGCCGTATGCATTTGGCTCATGTCAGGAACGATCTCTCTATCCAGAAGCTATACCTCATCATCGTCTGGTATAACACTGGCACCAATAAATGGGAATGGATTTGTTGGACCGACAACCTATGACATTGAAGTGAATTTAATAAGTTGAGAATGTTTTAATTGAGTTTGTTATAGACTTCAATGGCTAACAAGTTCAACAAGAAGATTATCAGTACTCGTGGGTATATATTAGGAGCTAGAACAGCGCGTAGAATGAATAATCACTTATGTGTAAGTATTGAATTCACAAAATATTATACATACTTGCGAATGGAGTATCATTGTTTTAATCTTTTAGCTTTGTACTTTACTATATTACTAAGGTTTTCTACTCACAATGACTTGAAAAACGAGTTATACACGACTCATGCAAAGTTAGTCTGGAAGCATTATTATCATGGTGCTATTTTGTAATAAGCTTTCTCCGAGGATTAGGAATGCCTTGATGTGGTTCTATGTCAGAAACGAAAATTTGACAGTAAGTCTGAAAATATATTGGCCATCAATGTTTGGATCAAAACTTCATTATCATTACTAGATGTGATGACTAATTAGACGAGGCTGACTTATTGGTACGATACAAATCCACACTCTGAGATAACTTATTTGTAAAAAATTTGAAATGCAATACCACCACAATTATCCTGTCAACTTTCTCGAAATGTGTAAAGATAGTGTGATCTTATCACAAGAGAGTGATGATTATCAAAGAACTTCAATGCTATTCAAGTATTATTCCTTTGAAAGACTTATATCTTAAAATGTTGACGACATTTTACTTTATTTGGATGATGCTAGTAAATCCAAAATAATCGTTTTTATTTGTTTTCTTGGCTTATTGAAACACATCATATCACGTTTGAAAACCCCATGGCACCTATTAATGACCTTTAAGAGAGGGAGAAACAATTGCTGCACATAATATTTTACGGCTAGTTAGTATTGTTCCTTTGCCCAGTGTTTCGAATACAGACTTCGAACAAGTTGACAGGAGATTCAAACTCCAACTCACTTTGTTCAAGGGATGGAATAAAGTAAATAACTCCTAAAACCTATATTCTAGGGCTATCACTCACCAAGTGAACTTCATATTTGATTATTAAAATTCAATAACATACAGTTGCAAAGTAATAACTCACAGGAAATAAAATGGAACTGGATTAATGTAGATGGCATGATTGCCACTATAGAATTATAAACAGCATGAAAATACACACATCATTCAACAGATCCTGTCATAAAAGACTTAGAGAAACATATTATAACCTAATCGTTTTTAAAACGAGGGGGTTGCTACCTTTTTTCTGATATTTTGGTTTAACTGATGTTTGGAACAGAACTATTAAAGATTAGAATGAGACTGGTCATTGAAGAAGCAATACATTATAAACAATTCAGAAAATGCATCCAAAAGTAAAGTTTAACGCAATCAGACCAGAAGAAATAACCGAACGGATATTGAAATGTATTCGTATCGTTTCGATATGACATTTACACTGAACCTTGTAAATATGTATTCCCAGAAAAACTGATTGTTGTATTTGTTTATCACTTTCACTATCTTTCATTATCACCCTCATTAGTAAATTATCAATATGAGATTACGTCAAAATGACAACAGTTAGTATTTATCCCGAACATCGGAAATACTCTTGAAAAAACTTTCAAACTTTACAATAAAGTGTACTACATGACAATGAAGTGCCACTTGGTTTCATTTTAGATAATCAGATTTTGTCAGAGGTTACTAATCGTTGCAAGTAATTGTCAAGTCATTGAGATGTTATTCTTAAATGAAGTTAAGGCTGTTGACAAAACCTTTTTCTAATACTTTTATGATAACCCTGTAACATACATTATGAATATCTTGTTTAGTAATTTGAACTACTCAAAGCTCTGTTTTTCAATTTGTTAATCCAAGAGCTATATGATGAATGATGCTTTTATAATAACTATACTTTTATCTATGGTAAAGTGTTTATAAACGTGTTTCCTATTTATTTTGTTTTTGATTCTAGAATTCAGATTTTCCAGATCCAGGAGCTTATCAAGATTTTGTGAACAAATCTTTGTCGGTCAAACCAAATAAAATACCATTTAATCAGTCCACACGTAGAACAGATAAATCACTAATCGGTGCATCAACTGTTGGGTAAATAAAAAAATCGTTTTGCTCCTATGAATAGGTTTTCATTGATCTATGGATACTTGAAACTAAGACATGACCAAAATAACATAATGCTAACCCATACTACTTTATAGTTCATAGTATGCATAGAAGTTTGCATGTTTCGACATGCGAGGTTGGTCAAATATGAATGAAGAGTTGTATTAGCTAAATAAGGTGATACCGTTTAACGGAGCTATTTCGTCCTAGTATATGGTGACTCCAAGGACGGTAGAACATAGGACCTTCATGTCCCACCTCAAACATCTAATCGTTCTATTATTGAGACCATATTTAAAAGTCATAACACTAACAATCAAGGAACGATTCGTTTATTGATGTGTACATTCGTTTCTCTATTGACGGATTCATTGTCTTAGAGAAAATAATTGTGCAAAATGTACAATTACACAGTCACAATATGAGCAACACTAGTATATTTATAACATTACTTGAGAAGATTCTTCAATTAATTCTCATTGTTGATTGATTAAAAATGGATTAGGCATTGTACTCCAACATAATGCTCCATTCTATGTTCTGCTAATTGACATATTCCATGTGACCAATCTGTTTAGTTGACAAAAGTTAACACTTACATTTTTTGGATTTAACCACTTGTATGCAACGAATAAAATCATTCAACAAAGTGCTATACTGCCCTGTTTTCATAACGATTTACTTAGTTTTCTGTGAATAGTTAAGATGAGATCTGTCATCAGAATGATCGTCTATAGTACACTTAGACTCAGTTACTAATATTTAGTTTTTAAAACATCTTAATGGACGAAACATGTTAGTTATCACAATTAATTGATCACTGTGTGGCGATCAATGTCATGCGTCTCTAGTCCTTATTAATGCAGATCGAATGCTATCGATCATGTTGCAATGTGGCCACCAGTCTAGGTGACTCGACCCGGGTTTCCTGTCGACTACCTCCAACTACCATCTAATCTCAACATGTTAGTTATTGTTCACTTCTTCATTAATCACTTAGCCAGTGCACTATTGTGAGTGATATAACCAAAAATAACAGAATAACAGTCATGATAACAATCCTACTATCATTAGATATCCAGATTGTCTCAAGCATTTATGTCTCTAGTATATTGGATTTGATACAACAGATAGATATGATTATAGGCAATCTGTCGGTATGTGATAAAATAGTACTGTGTTGTGCTACTTATATCAACATAAGTAGTATATATAACGCTGATCAAGAATAGAATATACGGCAGCAGAAGATCAAGCAGGAAAGAACAGGAACAGAAAGTCATTGAAATGGTAGTGAAGGAACAGTGATTTCTAGGGCAATTGATTGACATTTTGTAGATGAAGTATTTACTGTATAATTCTCAGATTTTATTAAGTGATTCTGTAATCTGTGTTTTCAAACACATTTGATTGTCCCCCACTTGTGTCTTCTCATTGACTACAGTACTAAGGTTAAGAAACATAAGCACTATACATTTATTGAATATCAACGTTATCTTCCATAGACAGTATTTTTATTTTTGGTGGAAAAGTTAAAATTTAGTTACATAATTAATGAGTAATGTTATTTGTTGCTATGACAACAAAGTGAATATTTCTTATTCAGCTTATGTTCTTAATGTTCTTTCACCTCCTACCCCCACCGCCTGCGGCAATCATGTGCACTTTTTCTATACCTTATACTACATTCAGAATTCTGCATTCATGAATCAATCAATATTGTTCAAGTGTAATCGGCTTTTGTTTTTCTTTTTGTTCTTCTTTTTTGTTTGTTTGTTTCTACCTGGAAACAATGTTCACTTGTTATTTGTTACATGAAATTGACCAAAAATAAAAGTGTTGGTACCTATAATGTAACTAAACAATTAGCTCAACATATACAATGGCAAATGGATACCATGTTACATCCTGTGAATCTGCCTAAAATTCAATACAATAGTACAATATTAATGAATACAGATAAAGTAAGTTAGTTATGATCATGTACATGATCACGATCATCATGATCATGATTGTGATCCTTATCATAAACAAACTATTTTTTTTTTCTACCTTTTAGCTTAATACAACGACTGAATGTAAACGATATCAAAGAAAATTAGCATATTTAAAATTATATTATAATTAAATGGAATGATTCAAACAATTAGCTACCATTTGAATGACGAAGGAGAAGAAGAAGTAAAAGGAAACTAGTAAATGTCATTCTGTACAGCTATTCTGTATAACTATGGTGTTACCAAGAATAAAGTTAACAAAAAAAATATATATTAAACGTTTTATTTCTGTCACTGCCATCAGCAACCTGGATAATGCGTCGGACATTCTCTTTCTGTTCCCTCAATTTGATAAACAATACCCATGCTGTTAGAATGCAGTGAGGTGAACTTCCCTGATAGTGGTTGTATATGTGTGTACATAGGCGAGCATTTTGAAAGAGAAGGTAGACACCGTCCACTCTCGACTGTACCAGGGTTTTTGTGGTGCAAGGTCAAAATTACACATGTTTGTAAATTAGACAATGTTTTGTGTGAACAAAATAATATCGAATTTTTAGTTCTGTCACCACCACCATCCTCACCAACCCGATTACTGCTCAGGATAATCACATTTCGTCCTCACATTTTTGTAAATAACACCCCTAATGCTAGAAGGCAGTGGGATGGACTTCCCTGACAGTGACTGTTCATGTATGTATATGAGAGAGTATTTTGAAAGAGAGGTTAGACACCCCACATCCTCGACCGTATCAGGGTATTTGTGTTGCAAGGTCAAAATTACACATCTTTCTAAATTAGACAATGTTTTGTGTTAACAAAATAATATTGAATTTTTAGTTCTATCATTACGTAAATATGTTAAAATTGTATTGTTTGTAAATAAAAATGATCATTTATTTATTTGTTCATTACAAATGGAAACCTCCTTTCACAATTGATTGATCACTGGGTGGTGATCAATGTCATGCGTGTCAAGTCCTTATTTAGTACAGATCGAATGCTATCGATCATGTTGCAATATGGCCACCAGTCTAGGTGACTCGACACTGTGGGCGCTATATATTGAGATTAGATGGTGATTGGAGGTAGTCGACAGGAAACCTTGGAACCGAGTATCGTGCTACTTGGCACTCGTCAGCAAGGTGTACCTGTAATCTTGAGGGAACTGGTGCTCCCTGACGGATTCGATTTCGTGTCACCCACATTGCAACATGATCGATAGCATTCGATCTGCACTAATAAGGACTAGACACGTATGACATTGATCACCACCCAGTGATCAATCAGTTGTGATTATATCTCAGTCCCACAGGAGGTCGGTCGTGGCTCGGGTAGCTCAGTGTTAACATCTGTAACTGTGAAGCTGGGTGACACAAGATCTCATCCGCCAGGGAGCACCAGTTCCCACAAGATCACAGGAAGCCCCTTTTCTATGCCATGTTATAATTCTCTCTTATTACAACTCAGCTATTGGGATTGCTTAGTATTATTGGACATCGATTCACTTGACAAGTCCTCAAATCAGAACACGATTGATCAGCATGGAAATTATATTCCAAATAGTAAGGGTAGATGGAATTAGGAAGTACAATAAGAGAAACATGAGTGTATTTATAGTTTTTTACAATGAGAAGATTCTAGATTGTTCTCCAAGTATCGACTAGTGCTGATTGAATAAGCAATAGCCAATTAGTGTTCACCAACACAATCTTGCAGAGGATACTAATTTAATTCAGTCTATGTCCCTATAACAAGAGAACTTGTAATGTGCAATCAACTTACACTACTATCAAATTAACTTATCTGAATTTCAGTGAAAGTTAATTTGAATAGATAACTGACTAGATCCTTAATTTTCAGCTAATTCAGTCAGTCAGTCAGCTACAACGTAGGACGAAGTTGGTAATAAGTAAGAGGAAGATTGAATCTAGAGATATAGTACAAGAAGAAAGAATTGGTTCGTAAAAAGAAAGATATGAAGTGATTTTAATCTCTTAGTTTAAGGGAAGACAAAGAGTGTATACACCGACGGCATTGTGATCGATTCTGAGCCATGTCACCAAGAGTCTCCAACCATTGGTTACGAAAGTCACGCGGACAGCAACCAAGTAGTCTGCATATACCAACATGGCTCAGACTAGAAGTTAGTGGCCACCCCTAACTTTTTTCCAACCATCTCCAGTACCGGATAGGATTGCACGTCATGATAATCGGTGTTCAGGCATACGTAACACGTGGCCCAACCATCTCAGTCGATGAAGATTCATACCTCATTTTTTTTTTTTTTTTTTTTTTTTTTTTTTTTTTTTTTTTTTTTTTTTTTTTTTTTTTTTTTTTTTTTTTTTTTTTTTTTTTTTTTTTTTTTTTTTTTTTTTTTTTTTTTTTTTTTTTTTTTTTTTTTTTTTTTTTTTTTTTTTTTTTTTTTTTTTTTTTTTTTTTTTTTTTTTTTTTTTTTTTTTTTTTTTTTTTTTTTTTTTTTTTTTTTTTTTTTTTTTTTTTTTTTTTTTTTTTTTTTTTTTTTTTTTTTTTTTTTTTTTTTTTTTTTTTTTTTTTTTTTTTTTTTTTTTTTTTTTTTTTTTTTTTTTTTTTTTTTTTTTTTTTTTTTTTTTTTTTTTTTTTTTTTTTTTTTTTTTTTTTTTTTTTTTTTTTTTTTTTTTTTTTTTTTTTTTTTTTTTTTTTTTTTTTTTTTTTTTTTTTTTTTTTTTTTTTTTTTTTTTTTTTTTTTTTTTTTTTTTTTTTTTTTTTTTTTTTTTTTTTTTTTTTTTTTTTTTTTTGAGTGAAACGGTCTACGCAGGTTAAGAGATAAGAGTATCCATTTGAATCTGGTAAAGGTCCTACCAAATCCAGATGAACATGGTCGAAACGAGCATCGGGAGTTTTAAACGAGCCTAAGGGACATTTATTGTGTCTGATAACCTTAGATTTTTGGCAGCTTACACAGGAGCGTGCCCACTCCCTCACGTCTTTATTCATGCCAGGCCAGCAAAATCGTTCTGCTATAAGCTTGATGGTTGCACGAACACCTGGATGAGAAAGTTTGTGCAATGTGTTGAAGACATTGCGTCGATAATGTTTCGGCACGATTGGGCGATCCCTACCTGTAGATGTGTCACAAAGTAAGGTTTCCTTACCTGTTCCCATCTGTTTGATGCGTAGTTTAAGTGTTGTGGACGATAACTCGTGCTGAAGATCACTGTCTTCTTTTTGAAGCTCGGCGAGTTTAAGAAGGTCGATTCCTTGGAAACTGTTCAAGGAAGTTATACGAGATAAAGCGTCTGCAACTACATTGTTTGCTCCAGAGATGTGTTGAATATCTGAAGTAAACTGCGAAATGTAGTCCAGTTGTCGAGACTCACGGGGAGAGTACTTGTCAGAAGGAGAGCTTAACGAGAAAGTGAGCGGTTTATGGTCCGTGAAAAGAGTGAATTCACGGCCTTCGATATAGTGTTGGAAATGCCGTACAGCACAATACATAGCTAGGAGTTCCCTACCGAATGTGCTGTACCTCGATTCGGTGTCTAGCAACCTTCTAGAGAAAAATGCCAAGGGTTGCCAGGAGTTGTTAACCCATTGTTGTAAGACTCCTCCGATTGCTGAGTCGGATGCGTCTACTGCGATGCTAATGGGTGCTCGGGTGTCCTGATGTGCGAGCATTGTTGCTTTAGCAATCAGTTCCTTGACTGTGGAGAATGCTTTTCGTGCGGTGTCGTCCAAATTAATGGATTTCGCATTTCCACGAAGTTGGTCGGTCAGAGGTTTCATAAGTGATGCGCATCTGGGTATGAAACGTCTATAGAAACTTACCAGGCCGTTGAACGTGCGTAATTGCTTGACGGTGGTCGGTTCTGGGTAATCCAGAATGGCCGCCACTTTGGTTCTAAGGGGTCGGATACCTTGAGCATCGATAGTGTGTCCCAGAAAGTCTAACGAGTCGGTTCCAAATTGGCATTTCTGAACGTTTACAGTTATGCCATGTTTTTGTAATCGTTCGAAAACAAGGTCCAGATGCTTGAGATGTGTTTCTCTGTCCGGACTTGCGATTAGACAGTCGTCAACATACGCGTGTACGAAGTTGAGACCTCGAAAAACGTCGTCTATGAATCTTTGGAATGTTTGAGCAGCATTCCTTAGACCGAAAGGCATTCGCAAAAATTCATAGAGTCCGAAGGGAGTTATGATAGCCGTTTTCGGTATGTCGTCAGTGGCCATAGGGATTTGGTTATACGCTTTAACCAAGTCGATTTTCGAAAAGACAGTTGTACCTTTCAAGGTAGCTGTCAAATCGTGAATGTGAGGCAACGGGTAACGATCGGGAATGGTTTTCGCGTTCAATCGCCGATAGTCACCAGTTGGACGCCAATCGTTGCTGTCCTTTTTAGGGACCATGTGCAACGGAGATGCATATGGGCTACTTGACGGTCGTATGATTCCTAAGTCCATCATGTGATCGAATTCGTTTTTCGCTAACCTTAGCTTTTCAGGAGCTAGTCGTCGTGCTTTAGAAAATACAGGTGGTCCTGTAGTCGTGATGTGATGTGTAACATTGCTGGTTACACACGGTAGTTTCGTTTGCGTTTGTTGTATCCCAGGGTACTTATCGAGTAGTGGTTGATAGAGTGGGTCTATCATATGTTTAACTGTGACTGGGGATACTCTACAACCAGTAAAAGAAGTTACGCAAACGGACAAATTAGTGTTTCCGTCTACTAGCCTCCGTTTGCGAGTGTCGATGATCAGATTGTGGTGTTGTAGAAGGTCCATACCAATGATTGGCATAGAAACATCTGCAACGACGAAAATCCAGTGGATGGGTTTGCGTAAACCCACGTTAAGGTAAACGTACCTTTTGCCATACGTAGCGATCGGTTTTCCGTTTGCCGCCTGTAAGTTTAGGGTCGATTCGTGAAGTCGGTCGTTAGGATTTGCTGGGAGAACGCTAACTTCTGCGCCAGTGTCGACGAGGTAGCGAACTCTCGTTGTCACATCTGTGACGAATAACAGACGGCTTTGTTCGCCGGCTACGGTTGCCGTTAACGCGTGCCGGCTTGGAAGTTTCCCGAATCAGTCGGTTTCGTGTTGGGAAAATTGCAGGGTTTTCTGCAATTTCTGGAAAACTTTCCATACTGGT